GAAAACGGAAACTTCGAACTCAGAAATGTGTATTCAAACACCTTGCATCCATCAAACAGTAGGGACCCTAGGAAAGCGCTGTAGCAATATAAATCATCGTTTTTTCGAAACATTTTTTAGGCCGTAATTCACTGTTTTAGTACCTTGGAACTCATTTTTCGATTCATCGTATTTTTTAAATATCTTTACTTTCTTATTTTCTAAAAAAATTGAATTTGCAGTACGGGGCATGCCGGGGTTGGTGGAAGCTATCAAGCTACGCCAGGAATGTTCGGATCGCTTACTAATGATCTCATTTGATGATGTATCAGTGTATCTATCGTTGCTCGAAGCAATATGTACGCGTCTTCGGCCTTTCGGCCCATCTGTTCTAGTTTATCTCGCAGCTGCCGTCTCCGACTTTTATCTTTCCGAGGATAATTTGGTATCATTTAAAGATCATTTAAAATTTGAAATCCTGAAAATATGCCTTTTCTGGATAACATGTGTAGCAAATCCTGTAGACAGTATTTCCTCACTTCAAAGTAACGGTCGCACTCTATTCCTTCTGATCTAGTGCAGCACGGACCGTGTATACGATCCGTTCATTCGTTTCGATGATTAGTTGGTACTGGCGTATGCCAAAAAAAAATTAAACCCGCCATCAGCTTGCTTCGAATCAGTTTTCAAAAGGAGCCGAAGAAAGCCATGTCAGCAAATGATTGCTCTTGGCATTTGCTCTCTCGACTGCCCTCGTCTCACAGGGAACAAATGTAGAAGGAAGTTCTATCTTTCAGCTTTTCTCATAATTTCCAGTGTATTTGGGGACTCCTGAACGATTATTACATCTACGGGTAACGCATGGGAAATTTGGTATAAAGTGAACTAGAAGGTTCGTACAAGCTGTGAAGGAATCACAATATTTCTAGCATTTTATATGGACTGGGAGCGAAAGAAAAAGAGAGAACGAACGTCAGGAACGCCAGCCGAATGGACATCAAATTAAACAGTTGCGGACAGTGCGGGAAACATTAACAGTCACAAAAATGCTGCTAAGTTAGCTGCCTGAAGCACTCACACATATCGAAAGAAGTTTTTAGTCGGAAAGATCAGATCTTACAAAACAACGAGTGCCGAACGACTGCTACGAATATGAATTGGGGCTTCCCGCAATATTTCCAACAACTGATCAATAAATTGATTTATTTTAGCCGGAACATAAAATCCAGTCATGTCGCGGAGGACTCCAACTAACTC